GGGGATTGGGGGGTGCTGGGAGGAACTGGGAGGGAGTTTGAGATAGCCTGGTTTAAACTGGGGAAGGGATTGAGGTGCTTAGGATGGCTGGGAAGGGGTTTGAAGGATGTTGGGGAGGGTGGGATGGGGTTCTGGGGGTCCTGGTGGACCCTGGGAGGGAGTTTGGGGGTGCTGGGTGTCACTGGGAGGGATTTGAGTGAGCCTGGAGGAGCTGGAAGGAGATTGGGGATTGGAAAGCAGGGATTGGGATGAGGTTGGTTGTGCTGGGAAGAGACTGGGAGAGTCTTGATGAGTCCTGGTGGGGCTGGGAAAGGACTGGGAGAGGGTTTGGGGGTCCTGGGGAAATGGGGAGAAATTGGGAGGGGGCTGTGGGATCCTGAGAGGAACAGGAGGGGCTCTGGTGGGTCCTGGGGAGGCTGGGAAGAGACTGGCAGTGATTTACCAAAATAGCAATATTGATCCATTATCAACATCAATCTGTTAATGGACAAAATCCTCTCCAACAGTTTAAAGTTACAAAGTGGATGTTTAATCACAGCACTGGGCGAGTGCAGGAGTCACCCCTTAATATGCACTGCAAGCTGACAAAAGATTCCAGTGTCTATTTATTTACAAAAGTCTTAAACATCCAAAATACTAATATATATTAATACTAATGCATATGCATAATGCTAGCACTTCCCATTCTCCACTTTGGATTAAAATGCACGGTAATGATTTTAAAAAGTCATTACACCTGCCTGGTTGGCTCCCCAATTTGAGGAGGGGGTCATTTTGGTGAGGAGGAGTCATCAAGAGATGAAGGAAAACCGCTCTTCCTCACTCTCACCATTCTACCTTTACAATGATTAACATTACAAATGACATTTGGTGCAACTCCAATTTCCTCCCTTGTGACTTTGAAATGGGTTTCCAGATGTAAGGTCTGTGATCTTCCTGAACCCGTTTATCAGTTTCTCTTTTCTCATTATAAACACAGCTGACCAAACATACAATGACAAGTAATTTTTTACCTAAGTCTGAGATTCATTATCTCAAATCCTGCTTCTCACTTCATCATTAACTCCAATTTTTCTCTAATTCATCATTTTTTAAAATAAGTGACTCCCAAGGAGGTTTCAGTGGGTCCTCGATGGGCTGGGAGAAACTGGGAGGGTACTTGGAGGGGCTTGAGGTGTCTGTGAAAGGTTTTGGGGGTACTGATCTCTGCAGACCCCCCAGGGATGCTGTCAAACGCTGCCCACACCAAGATGCTGATGAGGATTGGAGTCTCCGTGTTGGGCTTTGTCTTCCTGGCACTGGGGCTCGGCTTCTTCCTGCACAGGAATGTGAGAGGGGGTCCCGGGGGTGGTGTCCTCTCTCCCACAGAGCATGTGTGCTCCCCTCAGAGCCTCCAAGCCCAGTGTCACCCCCTTTTCTCTGCCCACACAGCTCCTGAGGCAAAATTTTCTTGAGGATATAAAGTCAACAATTCCCATTGTTGGTCTGTGTCCTGATGGATTTTCATTCCCCTGCTTTCATCCAGGTGCCCACAGGGAGCCAGGAAGATGTGCAGCCTCCCAGCCAGGTGTCTTCCCAACACGCATCACCAGGACCACGGATCACCAGGGCTCTGCCCAACGGGGGTCACTGGGGATCATCCAACGCCCATCCTCCCATGGGGGATGGAGCTGGAGCAGCGCACGAAGCTCTTCCCGCACTCGGGGCACTTGCAGGGCTTCCTTTACTGGTGCCTACATTGGTGTTGGCTCAAGTTAGATCTCTGTGAGAAGCTCTTCCCACACTGGGGACACTCGTAGGGCCTCTCCCCAGTGTGGATGTGCCGGTGCCTGATGAGGTGGGATTTGCGTTTGAAGCCCTTCCCGCAGTCGGGGCAGCGGAAGGGCCTCTCGTCTGTGTGAATCCGCTCATGTACGAGGACATGGGAGCTGTGCTGAAACCTCTTCCCACACTGGGGACACTCGTAGGGCCTCTCCCCAGTGTGGATGCGCTGGTGTTTCCTCAGGTTGGAGCTCCACCCAAAGCTCTTCCCACATTCCAAGTAGGTGTAGGGCCGTTCCCCTGTGTGGATCACCTGGTGTCTCATCAGGTCAGAGATATTTCTGAAACACTTCCCACATTTCCCACACGCATAGGGTTGTTCTCTCATGTGGATCTTCTGGTGAGTCCTCAGGCTGGAGCTCTGGCTGAAGCTCTTCCCACATTCTCCACACTCGTAGGGCTTTTCCCCTGTGTGGATCCTCTGGTGCTGGATGAGGTGGGATCTGTTTCTGAAGCCCTTCCCACATTCCAAGCACTTGTGGGGCTTCTCCCCCAGCTCTGAGCTCCGGCTGGATCTCTGGCCGTGTTCCTGGCGCTGGGGGGATCTTTCCTCCTCGCAGCTCCCTGGACTGGGTTTCCAGCCCCTCCTCATGCAGGATCTCTGGGGCTTTTTCTCCTCCTCTGCCATCTGGACACAGTTTGGGAATGAAAATTCCTGGTTAGGAGGAAAAGGAGAGGAGAGCGCCTTGGACTGGGGGTTCCTCCATGCCCAAGTTCATCTCAGGAAGTCATTGGGCATCTTGTGTCTGTAACAAAGCAAAGCACCAAGATTCAGCCCAAACAAGAAAACAATGATGAAAAACTACCCAAACACCAAATTCAGGAAAAACCCCCTCCAGAATACAAAGATTCGGCCCCTGCAAAAAAACAAAGCACCAATATTTAGCCCAAAAAAGTTCAGAAACACCAAGATTCAGCCCCATCAAAATCGTGGATCCCCTCCCCAGTCACCTCCAGGGCAACACTCCTGGGACTGCACATACAGGGAGAATGGAACGTTGTCCTGCTTCCTCTTCCTTCTCTCCCACCTCCTCCTGTGGCCCTACTCTTCCTCCCACTCCTCTTCCTCCTACTATTTCTCCTCCTCCTGCACCTGCTCCTCCCACGTGAATCCTTAGACCGTTTTGTTCTTCAACCCTGCTTCTCCTTCCCTTCTCCTCCTGCCCCCAGGCCCAGCACCCACTGCCGCCTCCCTCTTCCCCCCCAGTCCCACAGCATCCCACCGCAGGGGCACGGATGCAGCTGGGCCAGCTCGGCCTGGGGCAGCGCTGGGCTCTCGGCCGCTTCCGCCCGCACTCGCTCCCCACTGCAGCCGCTCCCGCCACCACAGCGCGGGGGGGCCCGGCCTTGGCGCTCCCCCCTCCCACCTCCCCAAATTCCCCTCCAGGGGGGCGCCAAGGCCCGGGGGGGAGGGGCGCAGCTGGGCTCCAGCTGGGGAACGCTGGCAGCTGCGGCTCTGCCTGGACACTGATGAGTCATCAGCGCCGCGCGCTCTGATTGGCTCAGCCCTGCCTGAGCCCTGCGCCTGCACCAAGGGGGGACACCCTGCTCCAGGGGGGATGGCCCCAAAACGGGGCAACCCCAGCAAAGGAACAACAACAAAGCCTCTTTACAAACTGATCCCCTCAACCTCATTGCACATAGGGCCAGGGACGTGGACATAAGGAAGTGACAGGAGGAGCCATCAGCTGCACAAAATGTTATGAATTGATGACACAGACTGCTGCTCAGCCAAGGTCCTGCTAAATTCATCAACTTCCAGAAGAACAACAAAGACTTAACACAGCCATCAATAT